AATTCCCTTTCTGTTTTGCGAGGGAAAGGGGCTGAACACCTTTTGCAGAGAACACCATTCTGCGTAGGCGGCCTTCGGCCGCGCTTAGGCATTATAAACCTCACAACGTATAATTCTCTTTCTGTTTTGCGAGGAAAAGGCGCTGAACACGTTTTGCAGAGAACACCTTTCTGCGTAGGCGGCCTTCGGCCGCGCTTAGGGATTATAACCCTCACAAAGTAGAATTCTCTTTCTGTTTTGCGACGAAAAGGGGCTGAACACCTTTTGCAGAGAACACCTTTCTGCGTAGGCGGCCTTCGGCCGCGCCTTAAACAAAACATAATGTAGGTTGTAGCTATGGTCGACCATTTGTATTTCAAGACCTTTTTTTTTGTAGCACCGGTTATTGTTAAAGTTGATATCACGAATTATGCTATTTATTGTATAATGTGTAATGTGTAAAGTTAAATTGATCGCGTGGATGACAGTCGTTAATATTAATTGACAAGGCGATTTTAAGAAGGTGATGTTACGGTCATATCTGAATTTTTCGGCGTGGAGAACATTACTTCAAAATGATGTGTTTGTTGTAATTCATACTGTCATTGTGCATATAATTTATTAGTTTAATTTTTTACTTATATATGGCTAACACCACATTATTAAATACGCCTTGTTACTTGAAATTGTAAGAATAAATGATGGCTGTGCAACAAAAATTTTGTGTTGAATATAATAAAAATAAAGTGAAGCGAAATTGTTCGTGTTGAAAAATCATGTGTTGAAATAATTTATGCAGAAAAGTCATATGTTGAGTTAATGTGTTGAGTTGGTATGTGTTGAAATATCTTGTGTTATTTAGACCTGTTACCGATAACGAGCAAGAATGGATTCGTGCGTAACGTAGTAGTACGAACCGCGACGAGTGAGCTAGTCAGACCTGTGCAGAAGAAGACAAGTGAATAATCATGTGTGAGCTAGACCAATTGACCAAGCTCAACGGGGCAGTGTTCCGTATGAACTGGAATTCATACCAAGTGTGAATGAACCCAACTAGGGTAAGTTGCAACCAAGTTTGGTGAAGGGATAGACTAGTTGTGCGAGTGAACGTGGGAAGAGCTCTGTGAGGGCTTGGTGATGTTTGTGAATGTTAATGCAGTAAAACCCGCTTAAGTACCTCACGAAAAATTTCAGCTTTTTGAGGTACTTAGTCGGGTTGGGTACTTAAAAGAACCAGCTTAAATACCTCAACGCGCTTCCTTAAGCGAACATATTTATTGATGTAGTTACCTTTTCTTGTACATCTTACATAAAACATAAATAAGTCCTTGAACAAAACATGAACATTTAGTTATTTAAACACATAAAGAAAATCTTTATTTAAAAAGTAGATAAAGCAATGTTACGTCATTTTTATAATAATTTAATTATTTAAAAGGTCATTGATTATACATATTTATACACACATACAGTGTTGAACATATCATTTTGGACTCAATTCAAAATGATTTTGTTTTACGCTTATATTTATTTATTGGTTTCTAAGATTTTTCAGTTAAAATATAGTTCATTCCCTTAAGTACGTCACGAAAAATTTCAGCTTTTTGCCGTACTTAGGCGGGTTGGGTACTTTAAAGAAGAGGGTGAAATAACACAAACGGCAATAACGCAAAATTTGCTTTATTTCACTTCTAAGTGGGAAAATACCAACAGCTGAGTTTCCAACAAAGTTTGGAAAGAGAACAAAGTTTGCCTTATTTCCCATTGCTTATTTATGCTATTTGTAATAAAACCAGTTTACTGACAGAAGGAAAAAGAACTTTGTTTATTCCAAAACTAGAATTAACACATTAATGACGAGACCCCAATTGTTTTCGTTTGAGCATCACTGAACGAACAAAATTAAACGCGACTACTTTATTCTACGGCCTGTCTGTACGGTCTGTCGGCCGCTGTGGTGTAGTGGTAAGCAGTGCGCGCTTCCACTCATCAGATCCTGGATTCAAACCCTGGTCAAAGCAACATCGAAAAAAAATATAGAAAAAGGTTTTTTCTTAACAGCGGTCGTCCCTCGGCAGGCAATGGCAAACCTCCGAGTGTATTTCTGTCTTGAAAAACGGCTTCCCATAAAAATACAATCGCCGTTCGGAGTCGGCGTAAAACTTTAGGTCCCTCCGCTTTGTGTGACAACATCAAGGCGCACACCACAAAATCGGAGGAGAAGCTCGGACAAACACTAACATATGTGTAAGCGCCAATCTGTTATTATTATTATTACTTTATTCTACCAACTGTTAAACAAAAAATGTGATATAATTCATATGAAGAAAGTAATATTCACAAAATATTTTTACTTATGAAAAGTCTAACAAAATATAGGAAAAGAGTCGTCTTTAATAACTGCTCAATTAATTGGACATAGCGCTTTTGTATGAATTTTATCTGCATGCTTTTTAATATGTTGAAAACGTTGCTGGAAAACCTTAAAATGTTTGCATGGAACCATGGCGCAATAAACAGGCGAAATAACAAAACAGCTTTCTCGCTTTATTTTTTTGTCACTCGGCTGCCTTAAAGTCAAATTTTGAAGGCAATTTTTTATATAAGGCAGTGTCAAATTCTTTTTCTCGCTCTAATTACTTCACCTGGTATAATTCCGCCATGGCATGGAACAAACAAAATTTGCCGTTCCTGTTCGCAGCATATAACACAGAGAATATTTTTTTGAGTTTTATTTTCAGTTAAAGTTTTTGCATTATCATCACTGGTTTCACCATATCCGAAATGTGGACTTCGTTTCCGAAGACGAAGCGAACTTTGTTACCATTTTCTGAAAGTATAACCATCTAGTAGTAAAATATTCGATGGATTTGCAAAAGTTAGCTCGTGTTTTTATTTTATGGCGTACTAAAGTTTAAGATAGATGTCTGAGCAAAATTAAGGGTTAGGACATATTTATACCGGGACTAGATTGCTGTGGACAAAAATCGGGACATTTCTAAAGCATCGAATCAAAACATACAATTTTGTTTTTTTTGGAAAAAAATACATAATATCTTTTAGTACAGTTTAAAACAAAACAAAGAGAACCAAAATTGAAAAATTATCGCAAAAATTTATACAAACAATATTTGAATATAGATTTTAATTTTCATATCCATTAACTTTTGAAGGAGACTAGTACTATTTTTTATAATTTCACTAAATTCGCCATACTAACTTTCATTAAAAAAACTTAACAAATAATTGTAAAATTCTTAAATAAAATTAAAGCAATAATGATAGACAGCCATATAGTGAGAGTACCAGTCTGACAGAATAAAACATAACCAAAGATCATAGAAAATAAAGATGTTTATGGATGGCTATGTTTACGGCTACCTTATATTATATGTTCTTTGAGGTAACATTGCTGCCCGTTTGGTTTCTAGCCCAGAGCACAGGGAAACTCTTAATAAATTAATAAAGAAAACGCTGAAAATCGGGACTTAATCGGTACAAATATGAAAAATCGGGACACTTATACGTGCCGACTTTTAATAAATATTCAGCGGGACAATTTTCTCAAAATCGGTACTGTCCCGCCAAAATCGGTACGAATGGTCACCGTACATATATAGTAAAATTTCATGGGAAATATATTCGTAGAGCATTTTAACACATTAGCTCCAGCCGGAAAGGGTCGTTTTGACCCTTACTTCAAGTAACCCCGCAAAAAGCAAATTTGGAAAATGTTTCCACACAAACAAGCCGCTGCATCTTCGCATCAAGCGGAGAATCTACGTGCACGAGAGAGCAATGTGGCATCATCGGCTGTTCGGGCTGAACAGCTAAAGAGGCGTCAGCAAGATGCAAATCAAAGAGCAAGTAGGGCCAGAGCTAGTGTGCAGAAGAGTGACGGAGGAGCTAAGAAAACTTATCCATGCCACCTATGTCGAGGTGTTAATGGGTTGTGTAAGTGCCCAGACTTCCTGAGCTTAAATCTACGGACAGGAAAGACATATGTAGACAACTTGCCAGGGCAAAGCCTTTTGCGAATTCTAATTATTAGGAGTCTAACAATGTGCGGTTGTGCTAGGCGTGCAAGTGCCCAATCGGGCTGATAGCTAGAACCTTAGATAATACTACAATGATAGAGACCACACTTGGTATTGGAGGACTTGGTCCATACTTTGAGCGGGTAGATTGTGCCATCTTGGCAGCTGTTTCTGCGATAAGCTGCGAGAGCCTAGACGAGCTATGAAAGACAGTGCAGCGTTTGTGGGAAATGGATCACATTCCTGATCTCCCTGTACGAACGGCAGAGCAAGAAATGGAGAAATGGTAGAGAAAATGTTTATGGAAACTCACTTCCGGGATTTGTCAGGGCGCTTTGTCGTAACAATTCCGGTACGCAGTGCTAGTAGATTTCGCAGTTCGCGGGAGAGTGCATTGAAGCATTTTTTTTTTTATAAGAGATTAGCCAGATATCCTGAAGTCGGTCGTAAATGTACTGATTTTATGCGTGAGTATGGGCAACTCAGCCACATGCAGGAAGCTAACTATGGCCCTTTGCGCGGTGAGCTACTATATTATATTCCGCATCATTGTGTGCTTAAAAAGTTCCTTGACTACTTACTCATATGCGAATGATAGCTGGCACGAAAAAACAACAGATGGCACTCCAAGCAGTAATTATTATAGGTGTGTTATGGCCCCGTCAGAATGGGTACTTCGCGTACGTTCTGCTCAAGGATGAAACTGACAGTTGAGTAGACTGTGTGTGGTTGCATAGAGAGCGTCAGATTGGCAACCATTGCGTCGACGGACCCAACGAACGTTGGCCAATACTCAACTTTTGACGCACGTAAGTCCGTCACTGCTGACAGTTGTATAAAACCGCGTTTACACACGACAAGACCAATGAGAATATGCATTAATTTACACATTGTTTGAGTAAAATACGCATCCAGACAACAAACTGTCTTCGAAAAGCCAGAGACAGTGACGTAAACAGCAAGAGAAGTGTGAATATTGTTCGCAGCAGCAATAGATATACGATATATAAATTTATGATATCTCTTTATATGTATCATACAATACGCATGTATATAGATATTTATGTATATTGATACTCATATGAACTCTAAACTACCTTTTCTTACTACTGGGTTTAAATTAGTGTAACAGTAGAATCATTCGATTTTTTACCAGCGTACAAACATAAGCATTGCACTTGTTATCTTATTTTGCATTTCCTTATCACTAACCTTCTGCCTATTATATTTATTGTTGTGGAAATTATCTCAGCTAACTGTGTACAAATATTTTAAGCGACCGGTTTGGGTACAATTGAATTCGTTCACCTAAGCTCACTTCACTTCTACTTTGGCTTGGAAATAAAGAAAACGCTTTGCATTTATATTTAAGACACATCGGTGTTTCATTTATATTTAGAACTTTCTCGGCCTAAATTTTTCGCTGAAAGGATTAAGAAACTACTTAATCCTCAAACATTTGATGACCCCGACGTGATATCGATATTTTCGCATTTTAATATTTCGTGATCGTTTGCCAAGTAGAAGTAATCTCGGTTCGCATATTTGTATGTACACAGCTTTCGACATACATTTTCGTTGCCATCGAGTGCATCCATAGGTTCAGTTATTAGCGCGCATATTATATCGCGGATATTTCTCTACCGAAACCAAAAATACTCGATTTGTTTGCTTAAAAATGCCAAAAAAGTCTAAATCGGGCGACGAGAGCGTTAGTCTAGCGGGTGATATCGCGTTTTACAAAAAGGAATGTAATTCCCTTCAACGGCAGCTGGATGCTCTCAGTACCTTTTTGACAAATGATCGCTTAAAAGGTTTGGATGAAGCAGATATTTCGGCTCGGCTTAAGCATGCCGAACGCATGCAGTCAAACTTTGAGAATGCTCGCTCAGCCCTCAAGCGACTGGACAGGAAGGAATTCGAGTCGGATTCGGACGAAAACTTTTTCAAGGCATATATTGAGCTTGAAGCGAAACGCAATCGTGAACTAAAATCTAAGCAAAATGCATGTGGCGCGCACTCATCGACTCTACGAGCCTTCCCCTGGGAAGAAGCTGCGGTACAGCTTTCCCAACGACGGTCCAGACTACCTGAGCTGAAAATTCCAGTTTTTAGCGGCTCATATCTCGATTGGCCATCGTTCTTCAGTACATTTACTTCAGCAATAGATAAGGACATGGAGATGTCCAAATTGGAAAAAATGCAATATTTGATCACCAGCCTCGATGGAGCAGCTTTAGATACCATCCGCTCACTTGATCCCACTGAAGAAAATTATAGCAAAGCATTAGATTTACTAAAAGGACGTTTTGATAACAAATTGCTTAATTTTCAGGCTCACATAAAGGCAATTTTCGGGCTACAACGTGTAGAGGAGGGCATTTCAGGCGGATTACGAAAATTAAGCGATCAAGTAAACGCCCATCTTCGGGCATTGCAAACTTTGGCATCTACGGAAGAAACCTATAATGGCTTACTCATTCATCTCGTGACGAGCAAACTAGATCTACACACGCACGAAAAATGGGAGGAGAACTTGTCTACTCAAAAATTACCGACCTGGCTAGGGATGTCAACGTTTTTGGAAAAAAAAGATGTCGCATGGCTGAAAATTTGGAAAATGCTATGGTCAATCAGACACCTAGCAAACAGGTGGGCAAAAATTCAGCTCAATCAAAATCAAAAGCAAATGTACTAGTTGCAGCATCTAGTGTAAAATCAACCTCACTTTGTGTTTTTTGCGATTCAAAGGAGCATTTTATTAATGTCTGTACTCGTTTTTTAAATCTTTCACCCAAATTGCGCTATAAAGAAGCAAAAAGGTTTCATTTGTGCTTGAGTTGCCTTCGTAAGGGCCACACTGTCAAGCAGTGCAAATCGGGCAGCTGCCGGCATTGCCAAGCAAAACATAACTCGTTGTTGCATATAAATGGTGTTCAAGACAGTGGACCGACATCAAGCTCGCCCCCAGCTGTCACAAACAGCCAATCATTAGCTCAACAGTCAACTTAAGTTACGTCATTAGTTGCCGGCCCTACACCTATCGTGTTGAAAAATCGTTCCAACAATTGTGTGCTATTAGCGATAGCCATCGTTTTAGTTAAAAATCGTGCAGGTACGCTAGTTCCAAGTCGAGCCATTTTAGACTCCGCATCTCAACTTAATTTCATTACAACTCGATTTGCGAATCAGCTTCAACTTCGTTCCTGTCACTCACCAGTTTCAATATCTGGCATCGGAGAGGCGAGTATCATCGCCGATAGGTGTGTTGACATCTTTGCTCAAGCGCAAGATGGCAGCTTCTCAACATCGTTTGCAGCACTAATCACACGAAGCATAACCGACTATCAGCCGAACTTTGATATCAACGTTGACGGCTGGAATATACCCAATAACATTAAACTGGCTGATCCCACATTTTTCAAAGCAAGTCGCATTGACCTTTTGATTGGAGCTGAACTTTTCTATGACCTAATTTGCGTTGGGCAAGTTAGGATAGCTGACCATCTTCCTACGCTACAAAAAACTAAGTTAGGCTGGGTGGTTTCAGGAGGGGTATCGCACCATAGCTGACCATCTTCCTACGCTACAAAAAACTAAGTTAGGCTGGGTGGTTTCAGGAGGGGTATCGCACTTCGGGGTATCGCACTTCGGGGTATCGCACTTCAATAGTCGCTCCACAGCTCTTTCGTCCTTCAGAAATCCAAAGCCACTAGGAGATAGTAATGACATACTGGCAAGCATTGTCACGCGCTTTTGGGAGGTCGACAATAGATTCGCCGCAACCCCTAACCCAACCTTGTCAGATGAAGATGTTTTCTGCGAGAAGCATTTCGTACAAAATCACGTTCGTCTGCCATCAGGAGCGTATTCAGTAAGGCTACCTCCTAAATCTAATTTCGATATTCTCGGTGACTCGTACGACCTTGCTTTACGGAGATTCAAGGCTCTAGAAAGAAAGCTTCAAAGAGATCAACCCACAAAGCGTTTATACTCAGACTTCATGCAGGAATACATGGATCTTGGTCACATGTCAATGGCATCATTACTAGCAGGCGCTCCGGTTTACTACCTACCCCACCATTGTGTTCGAAAACAAGATAGTACTACTACAAATTGCGTGTAGTATTCGACGGATCTGCTAAAACCACTTCTGGGCACTCTTTAAACGATTTGTTGCTGTCAGGACCAACTACACAACCAAAACTTTTTAGCACATTACTTCGTTTCAGATTTTTCAAGGTTGCGCTTTGTGGTGATATATGCAAAATGTATCGCTGTGTTAAAATGGCTAACCCTGATAACCAGTTGCAATGCATACTTTGGCGAGATGATCCATCAGAGGAAATAAGAATCTATAAGCTCGACACTGTGACATATGGTACAAGGCCAGCTGCGTTTTTAGCCATTCGGGCTATGCACCAACTTACGTTTGACGAAGAAGAAGCATTCCCCATCGGGGCAAAAATCATTCGAAGCGACTTTTACGTAGACGACTTAATTTCTGGTGGTGATACGATTGAAGAAGTCATGCAAATGAAGCAGCAGGTGAAGCAGCTACTTCGACGAGGAGATTTTCCTATTCGGAAATGGTGTTCGAATGAAGCTGTCGTTCTTAAAGATGAAGATGGGCAAGACTGCGAACAATTCTTGAAGTTTCATGATGGTACCGATGTTACAAAGGCGCTCGGCCTTGTGTGGGACCCCATATCAGACCAATTTCTGTTTAGCTTCACGCCAATTTCAAATTTGGGAAAAATCACAAAACGTTCGATTCTCTCGGTAATAGCGCGGTTTTATGATCCACTTGGGCTAATTTCGCCTGTAATTACAAGTTTGAAGGTATTTATGCAAGCCTTATGGAAAGAAAAGTTGAATTGGGACGAAAGCTTGCCGCAGTCCCTGCATTGTACATGGTTGGATTTGTGCAGTCAACTATCCATCGTTAGCAGCCTTCGCTTCCCACGCTTCGTACTCGCTATGCAGGTACGTGTACAGCTCCACGCATTTTGTGATGCCAGTTTATCTGCTTACGGTGCTTGCCTTTACACCCGTATTGAAGATCAAGGTGTCATAAAAACACATCTCCTGTGTTCCAAGTCGAGAGTGACACCATTGAAATCACTCACCGTTCCGAAACTCGAATTGTCAGCCGCATTGCTGCTGGCGGAATTGGTCTCAAACATTTTGGAAAATAGTCAGCTATCTTACGAATGTCATTGCTGGTCGGACTCAATGATGGTTTTGTCATGGCTGCGGTCTTTTCCTGGAAATTTTAACATATTTGTTTCCAATCGCGTAGCCCAGATTCAATCCCTCACATCGGGCATGACATGGCATCATGTTCCTACTGATCTAAGTCCTGCGGATATTCTTTCACGTGGTTGTGCTCCAAAGGAGCTTCTAAATAACTTTCTTTGGGCAAATGGTCCTGCATTTCTCCGTACAGATTCATCGCACTGGCCAGGAAACATGGATTTCTTGACTGATCTTCCAGAAAGGCGACGCCGTGTTCTGGTTACAAGTCCTCGAATTGATGCAACTTTTGATTGCGAATTTCAAAATTCATTCGGCAAGCTACAACGCGTATTCGCATACGTTTACAAATTTTGTCAGTTAAACGCAAAACGCTCTGTACCATCAACTGGATCGCTTACTGTCGATGACGTAAAATGTGGTACATTATTGTTAATCAGGCATATACAGCAAGTATACTTCGCAACAGAATATAAAATACTTAAGGAAAATAAACAGTTACCTTCGTCTAGCAACCTGTTGTCTCTCAATCCATTTGTCGACGATTTTGGTGCACTTCGCGTTGGAGGACGACTTCATCATTCAAATTTGGACTTCGAGGCTAAGCATCCGCTTTTGCTACCAAAGCAGCATCCAGTCACCAACGCGCTCATTGAATTTCATCATCGAAAACTCCTGCATGCAGGACCACAGAGTTTGCTAGCATCGATCCGACAGCAGTATTCGCCTATTGGTGGGCGCAAAACAGTCGCTAAAATTGTCAATAAATGCATAAAGTGCTATCGCCTGAAGCCTCGGGTATTACAGCAAATTATGTCGTTTCTGC